CATGCGTGGAAAAGTGGAAGGTCGGAGAAAATGAGGATGACCTCAAAAGAGATGCATTGACCCCATGATGGCAACAGTGGGCTCAGGTGTGTCAGAGATGAGGAGGATGGCTGGCACAGGATAGGACAGGGGTGAAGTCTGTTGCTCATAGCGCCTCTGTGAGTCATGCGAGACTCAATTGCACTTAACAAAAACAACAGCACTTCTGGGATTTTGTTTTGAAAACTTGTCCCAAGGCAACTTTGAAGGCCCACAATACTATATTCACTGGAAAATTTTCTTCTATTCTCTTGGCCAAGTGAAGTCTAGAGTTTTAGAGGAAGTGGGGAAACATGGATACAAAGGTGGGTACTCTTAAGATATGTCATATACTCCCAGAGTGACCCTAAAAGCATGAAGTGTTATATTTCCCCAAGACTCTGGTAGATATTTTCTACATCCTAATACTCAATTTGGCTTCAGAGATGGCTATTGTCATAGGCAAGATGGTGTTGCCTAGGGAACAGATTCTCCCAGAACCCAGAAGTTGTGATACCTGTTTTATCATCGTGAATAGAGGGGAAAACAAGGCCACTTTGTCCTCTGCTGTAGCCAAGTTAGCCAGATAGAGTGGAGGTGGTGGAGGTGAAGCCAAACATACACATTTCTTTAACTGTGCTTTCCAGGGGCTTTGATCTAGTTACATATTATGTCTTCCTCTATGAGAATATATTCTGATGGCCAGATTGTTAGGTGGTACAAAAAAGAGACTGCTTTTGACAGCTCTTCAGTGGATTCACTAGGGTTTGTACTGTTCTGAATTTACACGGTCAGAATCCCATTTTTTTCATTGTGGTAACAGGTGATCAGAATCATAAGGGGTGACACGATTACAACTCACACACAACTCATGGATAAGCCAAACACCAATTTATTCATTTGTAGCAATAATTAACTGCCAAACTGGCTAGAACACTCTTTATCAGCTGGTTTAGCAAATTCTTCGCACATAACAAAATTTATAAGGGGAAAAGAGTGTATTAGATAATGAACACTGCATAAGAAGAGAGAAAGAAGTGAAAGGAATATATGATTAGGCATTATATGTATGACCTCAATCTGGAACCAGGGGTGCATCGCGGGAAGGGCTGGGAGAGATGGAAGAAAATGTGCAACAATGAAAAAAAAAATTAAAACTTTTCCGATGTTAAGCCCCTTTCCTCAGTTGCTGCTAAAGTGCTTGGTTCTTCTGAGGAAGCTAATGCCGCATGCCTTTACTTCATCCGGGGATTAGCACCCCCCACCCCGCCGTCATCCTGGCACCACCACATCATGGCCTCAGTCTCTGAGCTGGCCTGCATCTACTAGGACCTCATTTTACACAACAATGTCCTGTCAAGGAGGATAAGATCAATGCCCTCATCAAAGCAACCTTTCTGAACTATGGTGTGTTTGCAAAGGTGCTGGCTAATATCAACATTGGGAGCCTCATCTGTAATGGGGGTGCTGGTGGACCGGCCCCAGAGGCGGGGGCTGCACTGGCTGGAGGACCCACCTCCTCCACTGCCGCTGCTCCAGCTGAGAAGAAACTGGAAGCGAGGAGAGAAAAATCTGAAGAGTCTGATGATGACATGGGATTTGCTCTGTTTTTGACTAAACTCCTTTGTAACATGTTAAAAAAAAAAAAAGCTGAAGTCTTAAAAAAACAAACCACCAACCCCCCGCCCCCTATTTTCAATGTTAAAAAACCCCAAGTTTATAAGGGAAATGAATTATTATCAGATTACTTGTAAATAAGAGATTCAGAGCAGAAGCTGTAGGTGAAAATCTTCATGTCTAATTACACAAATTGTGATTGTCTAATGTCTCCATCCTATTGCTAGAGTTGGACCTGACACAGTCGGCTGGTCAAAAATATCTTCTCTAATTCTAGAAACAGTAATGCTATCCTATAGCGCTTTAATTGCTCCTATTTTAGACTCCATATAAACCATTCCCTTGTTAACATTTCCTTTTTTAAGACCCATCATAAACACTGTTTGATTCTTCCTTGCTAAATGCGATCAACAATGTAGCAGTTCTTCATTCCTAAAACAACAACCTTGATTACATTTGCAGGTCATCTAAGTTTTTTGTCGTTAAATGGATTTTAGTTAGTATGTCTCTCAGAGTATCCTCTTTGCCTGCATTCTGAGAACATACCATTGTAATACTTTTTATGCTGTATAATGATTTCACTCTAGATGATGTAGATGGTGTCACTACAACAAAGTTTTGGAGCAGTAATTAAAGTGGTTGCTCGTTGTAAAGAAGTAATAAACCAGAAGCCAGGAAAGGATTATGCCAGCATCCTATTCGTATGCTTAGTCTAGCTGTTGGATTTTATCACATGGAGTACAAGAGGTCCTTGATTAGAAATACCTTAACAAGGGACCTGTACAAGAGGGAGGTAAACTGAAATTCATAGTCAGGGGATTGCTTCTATTAAGAGGCTCTGAAGCCTGAAAATCTCTTGGGAAAGAAGTTAATGTTACTATAGTGGGATTGAAGCAGGAAAAAGTTTACCATCTTTGTGAGAAAGTCCACACCGATAAATTGTGGCTCTAGGACAAGAAATTATTAGTAATCAAGCAACTGATAATTTTTCTGTTACCATTCCAGGACTATAACACATGTGACTGAAGACAATTCAATCAGCCATTTCCATAGACTAGGTAATTATATATTAGATTTCCTCTAGATAATTTCCGACTCACTCACAAAAATCACACGATCCAAATATTGCAGTTGTGGGGTCCTCGGCACAATTGGGATACGAGCAGGCAGGTTTCCCTGTGGTGGGAGCATATGGAGTAAGGTGGATGTATAGCAAATTGTTACAAACAAGAACCCTTGTAAATGCAAATCAGGGTTGGCACAGTGGTCAATGAGGCACTCATGGGTGAAAATATTTGTTTGTTGATGCTACAGGACTCGAGAAATAAGGTTCTAGCTAGATTTAATTAGTGTCACTGGTAGCACAATTTTTCCGGGAACCAAGACCAAAAACAGTGGTGCTTCATATTCTAAGAGGCCTTGATGGTTGTGAGGGACTGAAGATTACTTGACTACTTTTGAATATCCATGATGAGAGTATATATCAACACCAAGAAATAGGCAAATCAGGACTGCTAATAGCTGGTAAACACGGATACTCACATGGATACTCACTGGATGTGCTTTTCACATTTTAGGGAGCTGTTACTTCCTAGAGCAGCACTATTTTGTTCAGAAGTATTAGCAATCAATACATATTGATTTTTAGTGATCAAACTCGCCCTTTCTGGCATTTTGTATACACATGGCACTAATATATGTGTCCTAGGATTTTCCAGATGAGATGGCCAACAAATTTTCAGTTGCTCTTTGATCTTTGTTTTTTAAAGGGAGCTCTAGTGGCTTTTGGTAAAGATTTTGCTCCCAACTCAAAGGTACATGGTTTGAATCCACCAGCTGCTCCTTGGGAGAAAGATGGGCAATGTCCTCTCATGTGATTTACTGCCTCTGAAAACCCACTGGAAGGTCAGCTATCAGTTGGTTTGAACTCAATGATACATAACAACAACATTTTTGGTCCATTAGAATAGAAGCCTACAGTTATGGGTAGTGATCCTAGTTGGTGACCACACTGAGGCCTGAAGGGCCAGATTCTTTGTGCAAGGCAGCAAGGATACATTGTGGAAATAATAGTTATGATAAGAAACTTTATTTATGTCTCACTAAATATTTGTCAGAAATCACTACCCTCGCCCATCTTAACTTGGTTATGAGACACACGCAAAAAAAGGGCTGTTGGAGACGAGAGAAAGTTGGGCTTGATAAGGCTTGGCTAAAGGAATGTACTTTGCTTAAAGGTACATTGTTCTTTAAGGAAGGGGACCAACCATTCTAAACAGAGTGGGAGAAACAGCCACAGTAAACTCTTATCCAATCCAGTTTTTTGATAGCCAAGGGTACAAGGTGTTAAACAAGCAAGAGTCTTAGATGACAGCAAAGCACATAGCTATGAGGAAAGGTGGCAGAGCTCTGTTCTAGGAAGGTTAGTTTGGGTTGAAATTGAACCTCAATCAGAAGACAGGATTACAAGCAGGATGTCAAACCAGTTCATTCTGGTTTGTCTCCTTGCTGAACATTTCCACTGCCACCCGAGGGGTATAGATTTAGAATCTGTATTTCTGACCCCCCTGGAGCTCTTGCTAAGCTGCAGATTCTGAGTAAGTTTAGCTGGAATGGAAATGCAAATATTAAGTTGTTGTTGTTGTTGATTGCCTTCAAGTCAAGCATGACTCAGCAACTCTATGAAGAAAAGGCCCGAAGCCCCTTTACAGCTATTGACACTTACCAAAGTTCATAAAGTTTCCAGAGGCATGTTGTTTAGGAAGTGGATGCCACTCCTGCTTCCAGGGGGGTTGAATTAAAATGAACTGGTTATGGGGGGGGGGAAGAACCTATCCTTATGAAGAATGACTTGGCAGATATGGGAAGGGTAGTTTGGGACTTCACTCAGGGGTCCCCAAATCAACACAGAACTAGGATATAGAACAATGAGGGTTAGAGTGAAGGATTTCTGCCCGACCCTCGGCAAAGGAGAGACAAGACTTCGGCCGAGCACCTGAAGCAATTCCACCTATTGGTAGTGATGGAATTCCTAGGGCACTTTCACGCTTGTTTCCATCAGCTCAGACTGGACAGCATTTTGCCTGTAAGCTTCCCCGTACTCTTGAAGGATCAGTCCCAGCTGTAGAACATGCCTCTGGAATGTTTTTAGCATTTTGTAGGTTGCGGTTTGGTGTTGACGAGCCAGTTTCCATTGCACACGGTCCGGTTGCTTCAGCTCTCAGAAACACCTTAGTGGCATTGCAGTTCCCCACCTGTATTTTGAAAGTGAGTGCAGAATATCAGTAAGTAAGGCTGGAGGTGAGAGGGATCAAGATTTGAACAATGATCTTCCCGGGCTTTTGTTACTGGTGGGTTGAGTTGTTTGTCCTTGTTAAGGCTCGAGAACGTTTGGCGAGGCAATCTGCTGTGAAGTGGCCAGGCTGGCTGCAGTAGAGGCACAACTCGGTTTCTTGCTGGCGGGCTCGCTTGGCTGGTGTGAGAGGCAGCTGGCCTCCCCGCAGTTGTATAGGCTCTTCTTTGGCTGGTGGACCTGTCAAACTGGGGACGTATTGATGGTGGATTGGAAGCTGAGCTTGTGGTTGTAGTAGCTCTGGTTTGTCATCATGTTTCCTATCCAACTGAATGCACTGAACGATCAGATCTGGGAGGTTTTCCATCATATCAGCTCCACTCACCTCACCGTGGATAGGTTTAGCCATTCCCTCTTGGAGCTGGTCACTCACGATGATTTCATTTGAGTTGGAGTTTTGAGGAAGGAGCTGGAAGGTGGTAGCATCGTGATGAGAGGTGGTGTTCCTTTTGCCAGCATGAGCATTCACCAGCGGCTTCGCTTCTTGCTTTGTGGACTCGCCAAATGACTGTTGGACCTCAAAAAGAAATTTCTCGTATTGTTTCATCAAAGTATTCTGCTCAGATCCAGGTAGGGTCCCATATCTTTCCATCTGCCGAGATATGTACTCCAAAAAGGACATGACCTGGGCATTATCAGCAGTATTGGAATTCTTGAGAGCCGTGAAGTAGGCTGTTGCCTGAGCAAGAAACCCTGAGAGACTGGCAGGATTAACATGAAACTTGCTGAGATGCTCAGGTGAGAATGGTATAGGCATCATTGGGGTGGCCAGGCTGGGCATGACCTGACTTCTTAGAGTAGTATTACCCTCAGTCAGGGGCTGCATTGGTGGCCCTAGAATCATATTCTCTGCCCAAAGGTTGGCTCCAGAGTCAGATTCTCCGCCCTGCAGGGCTGGTGAGGATTCTCTGGTTTTCTCCATTGTACTTTTTTGAAGCAGGTAGGCTAAATAGATGTGAGTACTAACACTGGGGACCAGCAGGTAGTCAGTAATTTTACTCTGCTACTGGAGAGACAGTGTCGTAAGCAAGTAAGTAGCCAAAGGTGTTAGATATCAGGAGGTCACCACCAAGGGATGCTGAAGGCTGAGTTGGAGAGATGAGAGACGATGTCATCCACTTCTCAGTGTCGCCTCTTCTACACCGGTAATGATGAGGCTCTGCACATTCAGAAAAAGAAATGAACTTAGAAAACAAATAATTTGGAATGACAAAGATGAAGAAAAGAATCACAATTTCTTTCCCCCCTCCCCATCCCTCCTGCTTGTAACAAAGAAAAAGATTTGCTTTCAGAATAACTCTTTGGTTCTAAAATAGAGTCTTTTGTTCATCAGATAAGCAGAGGATTTTCCAATCCAAGGTGAGCTTAGAGATGATCTAGACCAAGTTCTAATTTCACAGGTGAGAAAACAGAAATCGAGAAAGGTAAAGATGCCTGTCTACCTTCAGGCAGCTATTTTTAATATGAGAGATGTCATGCTCATCAGGGTTGCTGCCCAAAACAGTGCCTCCTCCAGGACCACAGACGTGGTAATATGCATATGCTGCTTGGGTATGATGGTTTCCCCTGCCCTCTGCTACTTTAAATGTGATCAAGGACAAACGATATTGCATCATCAGAACAACTCTTAGAAATACAGAATCTCGGGCCCCATTGCATCTTTAGTGAGTAGAAATCTGCATCTCAACGTGAATCCTCAGGTGATTTATGGGTGCATTAACCTATGAGAAGCAAAGGCCAGAGAGTACTTAGCTTGAACTGGAATAAGTACTAGTTGGGCTTGCCACTCAGTGCCCCATGTCTAGACTTCATCGTTAAGGAGCTCTGATTGCTGTGGTTAATCCATTTTTTTTCTTCCCCTTGGCTTCTTAATCCCTAACTAAGGTCACATTTGGTTACCATGGATATGATTAAGATTTCACAGGCAAGGGAAAGAGGTGAGCTTGAGAACCCAGGAAATGAGAACAGACTATTCTTTAAAGTATAAATATGGGAATGTTCAGCAGTCCTCCTTTCACTAATAACCAGAATAAAACAACCAGCAAAAGTTAAAAACAAACTCCAGACATATGGCATATTAGTTGAACTCTTCTGGAGTGCAAGTGCTTTCATTGCCCTTTGATTGTGAAGCATGCTATTTAAGTGTATTTAAATTGGCCACTCAAACCAAAATCTGTATCAGCGAAGCTTTTAAAATGTAATATTTTATTCCACAGATTGTCTCTAATGGTGACTCATCCTCTCTAGATATGTTGTTGTTGATGTTATGTGCCTTCGAGTCGCTTGCAACTCACTGTGACTCACTGTGACCTGAAAACCTGCTCTGTACTGAGCCAACCTTACTGTCTCTGACACGTTACTCTATTACCCCAGTCACTGAGTCAATCCATCTCATGGAGGTCCTTCCTCTCTTGTGCTGCTCCTCCACCCTCCCAAGCATGACGTCCCTCTCCAAGGACTGGTTCCTCCTTGCCACATTCCCAAAGTATGTCAGATGGAGCTTCAGAATCCTTGTCTCCAAGGAGCAGCCTGGTTTCACACAGAAAAGTGGTAAGACTAGAGGTCCAAAGATTTTATCCAAATACTGTCATTAATCAGGTGGCGGGCCCTGAATAACTCATTTAGCTCCTCATTTATTAATTTATCTGAAGGGCATGGCAGTCTTATCAACCTTAAAGCATTGTTGTATCATTGAGATAAGGAGTAGGTGGTTTGCATAGAAAAAAAAAAGAGTTTACTCCAATTTTTTTTTCAGTACAGCTGAATAGTAAGACTGTACTCTCACGTCTGATCTACCCCTTCCAGATACATTTCCACTCCTCAAGTGCACATTTGTGCGCTCATCTCTGTCAATCCCACTAAGTGTCAAGTGAGAGCTAAGATACTAGTTAATAAGAGGTGGTTGTTGTTATTATTGAGTGCCGTAGAGTCATAGATGACACATAGCGAACCTATGAACGAAAGTCTTGAACACAAAACTTTTATTGTTTGTCCAAGTTCATAGATTTTTCTAGAGGCAAGTTTTTTTGAAATGGATGCCACTCCTACTTCCAAGCCAGTTTTAATAAGAGGTAAAGCTTGCAATTATTTAGACCATTTATTTGAGTGTGCACATGAATCACCTAACTTCCATTCTCTGGAAATCCTGATTCATACAGGGGTTGAGCTTAAGAATCTCTACTTTGATAAATTGTGTAGGTAATTTCTTTTTTTTT